TTTTTTTCCTTCAATGCTCCGCGAGTTTAATAAACTCTCACCTACTACAGTACAAGCAACCTCCCTTAACATTTTTAAGAAACTTATAAACATGTCAAATATCAGTGAAGAGGAAGATGTGAGCGTTTCAAATGTATTCAAAAATAAAGGATCAAGGAAGGGTAATATCATACTTTGTCAACTTAGAAATGGATGTAGCAACTTAAATTTTGACCTATATATTGATAATTTAAAAGATAATCCTGTGTGATTTAAACCATGAAACTGTCTCACATTTTTTTCTTCACTGTCCTCTGTTTTCAGTCCAAAGAGCATTACTAAAAAATGAACTTGAACTTATTGGAAACCATAACCATTTTCATCTCACCAACTCACTATATGGCTGTCAAACATGTAACGAAGGTGTAAATATGGAAATTCTTAGCTCTATCCTAAAATATATAGTTAAAACTAAAAGATTTGTTGAATATCGAGTATAATACCAGGCAACTTGACACATTTTGAGTGAATATATATACACATGTATATATATTTGTAGATAATAACACTTATTTATAAAAACAACATCCATTCGTACAGGAGTGCATCTCTGGCTGGTTATCGTGATATTGTTATGCTTTCCTTTTATATTCTCCCATACTACCTATATCTTTAATTTTTAGTGTACATACTTTAGATCTGCAATTTCTCATATATGTACTCAAATGCATTACTGTGAATTATACCGCAATAATATTTACTATGGATCCTGTACAGTGTTCAGTTGAAGACCTAAACGTAACACAAGGACTGTGCGGTCTTCAATCTGATATTAAAGCTTGTATACTACATGTATATGCGGTCTATAACCAATATATATATATATATTTTACCTACATTGTATATTGCAGACCAAATCTAATTAATACACTATTCTATGGGAGTTATCCCCCTTCCCCCACCCACACCATATTTTATATAATAACCTCTTAATTATGTAAATATCTAATTAGATTTACAAACGTTAATTTTTGACAGTAAGCAAAATCTTATTATTATAAATTCAATCCATTATGTCCATATACCTACCATCAATATGGAGAGGACTTATATAGGCTATAAGCCTGTTGTCCAATCCTTTTGACAGTGTAACATTCTTCTATGTCAATAAAATATGTTGAAATGAAATTTTTATCCAAATTTAGTCTAGAGCATCCTTGGGCAAAGGGGACTAAACAGTGGGTGGGGACAGAGGGGTGGAGCGGAATAGGGAAATAGAGATAAACCTTTAAAATCCTTCTTCTACCATAAAGATTAAGGGATTTTATCTAGATTTGGTCTGGAACATCCTTTGGCAAAGGACTCTCAATTTTGTATAAACAGGGGGTTCGTTCCCCCTAGGGGCAAATAGGGGAAATAGAGGTAAAAGCTTTGTAATCCTTCTACCATGCATACAGATGAAGGGATTTTATCCCAATTATTTCTAGAGCATCCTTCTTGCAAGGGGACTCAATTTTGTATAAATGGTTGGTGTAGCCCCCCTGGGGGCATTAGGCGGGACCCAATAGGAGAAAAAGAAGTAAAATCTTGAAATGCCTTCTTCTACCTTGGGGAAAAAGAGATATTATCCTAATTTAGACTGGAGAATCATATGCATTAGGCCAGGGACTGAATTTTGTTTAAATTGTTGGTGTGGCAGGGGGCAGAAGGGAAATAGAGATAAAATCTTGAAATGCGTTCTTCTATCATATGGATAAAGGGATATTATCCTAATTTAATCTAGAGCATCATTGGTCAAAGGGGACTAACATTTGTATAAATTGTGGTTGTGGGCCCCCTGGGGCAGAGGGGTGGGTCAGAATATGGGAAACAGTGGTAAACCTTTAAAATTCTTCTTCTACCGTAGGGATAATGGATTTTTTTCCTAATTTGGTCTGGAGCAGCCTTGGGCCAAGACAACTCAATTTTGTATAAACAGTGGTTGTGGCCCCTTTGGGTGCAGAGGGGCAGGGCTCAATAGGGGAGTTTGAGGTTTAAATCTTAAAAATCCTTTTCTTTCTGTACCATTGGAGGGATTTGATCCAAATTAGGCCTGGAGCATCCTTGGGCAAAGGCAACTTACATTTGTATAAATGGAGGGTGTAGCCCCTCTGGGTGCAGAGTTACATGGCTCAGTAGGGGAATTTTAGGTTTAAGACTTCAAAATCCTTCTTCCTCTGTACCATTTGAGGGATTTTATGTAATAATTTCCCATGGTTGCTTTATTATCCAGGTAAACAATACAGGCCTGTTGTTCTAGTATCAAGATTTTCTTGGTAGATAAGTCCTTATAGATAATAAAAAATTCATGTACGGTTTTCCAACAGAATCACACCAGTTTATGCTGTAGAAATCTCATGGTTTCATAATATGGTCCTTAACCAATTTCGTAAGTTTATCAGGAAACATAATGACAGGTAAGTTATATGATGCAGTATTCCTTATCAAAGGTATGTGCCATATAGGAGATGATAACCAACCTGCTGTATCGAAGGTATGTGCCATATTTGATATAGGAGATGATAACCAACTTGCTGTATTAAAGGTATGTGCCATATAGGAGACGATATCCAACCTGCTGTATCAAAGGTATGTCCCCTATAGGAGATGATATCCAACCTGCTGTATCAAAGGTATGTCTCATATAGGATATGATATCCAACCTGCTGTGTTAAAGGTAGGTCCCATATAGGAGATGATAACCAACCTGCTGTATCAAAGGTTTGTGCCATTTAGAAGATGATAACCAACCTGCTGCATCAAAGGTATGTCCCATATAGGAGATGAAAACCAACCTCCTGTATTAAAGGTATGTCCCATATATGAGATGATAACCAACCTGTTGTATTGAAGGTATGTCCCATATAGGAGATGATAACCAACCTGCTGTATCTCATTATCATAGTGACCGAATATTGGACGTCTTCAGAGTCGGGGTTTTACTTCTGTACCCACTCATTGGACGCTTTGGAGAGTATTCCTTTTTCACCTATTCCATCTTTACATTGGTGTTTATCTATTATCCTAAACTTATGCTCTGTTGGGTTCTCCCCTTTATTAGTATACAATGCCTGCCTTATTATCCTATTATCTTTGGATATTATTTTTTTTACTATCCCTTAACCTTTGATCAACTATTTCAGTATCCTAATCGTTATAGAGATTGTCTTTTTGACTTCTGTTACACAGGTTTGCACCTGACCAACATATGATTTCCAAATAACTTGTTTTAAGGTGTTTTGAATTGTCTCCAAATTAGCATACATATACAACATGTCTTATTTAACATAACTATACATTATTCATTGTGACATTTTCCGACCTGCTACTTTAACCTCTACAGTGCATGTTGTATTATCTTTATCACATATGTAAATTTGTTTTTGACCAGCCCCTTTACCCGTGTACAACGCCTGTCCTGTGCACTGTCCCTTCTCCTGATGACCATGTTGACCAGTCTCATGTTCCATGGGATACCAACAGACGATCCTGCTGACCAGTTGAATTCTGGCGGCATCACACTGTCTCTGTCCGACATCATCATTGGAATAGAGAGTGGTCTCATCATGTTCCCTATTAACATTATCATCATGCAGTTGTTCACTAAACTAGAACCTAGACCTTCGGCTCTAGCCAGAGGGAAAAGTTCTCTGGCTGACTGTCCCAAGGAAGAGGACAAGTCCTTTGGACTTCATACCAGTAAGAGCAAAGGCAAAAAAGAGCAGAAAAAGCCCTTCCGGTAATTATGTACTCAATCAAACTCCATGAAAATATCAGAATATCAGTTTAAGGGTGATGGTGTGGTATGGAGAAGTGGTGTGGGAGGGAAATTTGGTTGTCAGGGAGATAAAATAATTAAATGATTGAAAAGAGGTGGTAAAAGGAAATGAGGTGATTCAAGGGAAAGAAGATGCATGAAGGAAAAGAGGTGGTAGGAAAAGACTTAATTGTGAAGACAAAAGCTATATGGAAGAAAGGCGTTAGAATGGGAAAAGTTATATGGGAAGTGGTGGTATCGAGTATGAAGGGTCGAATAAAATTTGGTATGAGGAGACAAGATCCGATGTGAAGGAGAACAGGTTATTAAGATGGTATGATGGGGAAGAGTTGATGAAGAGGAGAGAAATGTGTGCCGTAGAAGAAGGTATATACGGAGAAAAGGGGTTGTCTTCAAAAGAAGAGGTAGTATGAAGGAAAAGATAAAAATTGAAAAAGAAGTTGTATGGGGAGAGGTGATGAATGTTTTAGGTGGTGTGGAGTAAAATAAGGTAGCGAGGAGAAGAGATGATATGGAGTAGAATAGGTAACAAGGAACAGATAGAATGATGTAAAGTGGTATTAGGAAAAGGGGTGGTAAGGAACAAAAGAAGTAATGAGCAGGAGAGATGGAATGGAGTAAAAAAGTATTAGGATAAAAAGGTGGTATAGAGTAGAAGACGTAACGAAAAGAGATGGCATGGAGAAATAATTTGTTTTAAGACTTTGATATAGCAATCAATCATATAAACATTCAATATTTATTATATAACTATTTTCATCATTGTAATATTGTAGGTTTCCCTGGTGGGTGGTATATATTGCGTGGACATTGGTTCTGTCTGCCGCCTTGATTTCTTCCTACTTTGTCATGTTGTATGGTCTGATGTACGGCTACCAGAAGTCCATTGAATGGCTTGTGTCATTCTTTACCGCATTCTTCCAGAGTGCTTTAGTCACCCAGCCTCTCAAAGTGTTCATGTTTGCAGTGCTCATCGCCTTCATATTTAAGAAACCCGTTGAATTTGAAGCTCTTACCCGGAGGGACAACTTGAAGCTTAGTATGTTTTTATGCATAATATTCACTTGGGATAAGTTGATAGGCATACTTACAGTAACTTGCATCCAAGATTGCGCAAGGCACAAACGGTTCCTTGATTTTATCACATCTAAATAACATCTTAAACAAGTGCTAATTGTAATGGGGGACCATTACAGAAATCCCCTAAACCCCCGCAGTTATGTTCGCAGTGCAAAATAACACATACATACCAAATTTGAGTAAAATCGACCAATATTTGATTTTGACCAATCGGAGGCCGTGGCGGCCATCTTTGTTGACCAATCGGAAAATGAAAGCTCATTTACACACACCCTGACCATAACGAAGACTTCTGTAAAGTTTCATTAATTTCCAATAGTTTTCGAGAAATGTGTCGGAACAAAATTACGACGGAACAAGAAGAAGAATAGTAAGAAGAAGAAACGGAGTAAAATCAATAAGTCCCCCACTTCGTTTGGAGGACTTTATAAAACTAATTAAGATGGTGGTCAACAACATCTCTTATTTAGTTATTATGTACGCCGTGATCTTGTTCGACCCTTTCTCAAAAAACATATGTCATATCTTGCCGAAACTTCACATGATTAATAATGGGCATACGTAGTTATGCATTCAAGTCTTTATTTTCAGATTGTTGGCAAAGCAACCATGGCAGCATGGAGGCTTCTGATTGGTCGAAATCAAGATATTATCATAGCAACCACACAGGCTAGCTTCTAATTGGTCGCAATTTAGAAATTGTTCGATGCTCCAGTTTAGTATTGCATTGTTGGTGTATTATGGCATTGCGATTCTTTTCTGATGCATCTTTAATTTGCGACTATGGGGCCAATTTGGCAATACGAGATTTTCATACAAATGTTTTTTAACAAGACCTATGAAGAAATCACACAATTAAGTAAAACAATGAAATTAATTGAAACCTTGAACGGCCAGGTATTGTGTAATTTGTTGTTCCGTATGACTTACAGATCATGTAATAAGCACATCACATCACAAAAATCACAAGACATATTGGTTCAAAATATGCATATGTTAATATCAGTTCCGATTTGATATATTAAAATGTTATTCTTACATTGAGGAATATGAATATGTTCACGTGTGATAAACTGTAAGTGTGTGCATTGCACCATCTTAGATGAGAGTAAATGTATTATCTTATCCCAACTGGACATTCCTATTGATCCAGATATGTAATAGACATGTTCATCCTTTTGTTTCCGACCTGGTTTTCTACGAAACCTTAAATTAACAATGAACAAATAATATGAGAACAGTTTTAATGAATTTAAAAATTTAGGAACAGTGACGTAAAAACATGACATTAATATAACCATATTTCAGACCATGATGAGGATTATTGCCAAACGGAACTGTTGAAGAGGCAGGGGATAACGCTGTCCTCCGTAGAACCAGTGAAACTGGCAGTGCGCGCGGCCATGCCTAGAAAGGCATTACAAGCCATCAGGGAGAGGCTCCAACTGGAGGAGCACATCACTACCATCCTTAGGGAGATGATCATGTATTTTACCTTTGTGGCTATCGTGCTGTTCATGGTGCATGGCCATCAGGATGTGACCACCAACTACGGTGCCACTAAGACTACAGAAGACATGTTTGTGCATGGAACCTACACACGCGTCACTCTGAAACAGGTCTGTAATATACAAGTTACTCCTAAACTAATGTCAATATACACATATATTTACATTTGTGTTGCAATCCCACTAGATAACAGTACCAACTCATGATCCGCGACAGTAATACATGCCGAATGCTCCAATAATGAGCTTATCCCGTTTTCACAGTCGGAAGATAATCAATGCTTGTTAAACATGCTTGAGCAAAGTGGAACTATTTGTTTATTGCTCAACTGTGTATTTCTTCGCCATTGACAACACATCATCTTTCCCGCGGAAAAGGCTCGTGAAAATACCCTTTTTTTTCTTAATTTCAAATAATGAAAGTGAATGTAATAGAATGTAAATATAAGGTTTGAAATGCATCTTTTTAACATTTACGAGGATGTAAAACACAGTTCCGTTCAAATATTTTTTGAGAATATTTTTGAATGGAACTGTGTTGCATACCCTCATAAATGTTAAAAGATACATTTCAAACCTTAAGTGACATCATTACTGAGGTCAATACTCCCTTAACCTTCTGACTAAGGTCATACATACACATTACTCCTATAACAATGTAAACACGTGCCTCCTGGACTGATATCAGTTCATACGTCTGTACATGTACCTCGTGAACGTAGGTGTGACATTGACAAATGATTTTACAATTTACAGGTAAAGAAGGTTGAGGATATGTGGAAATACCTACAAGATACAGCTGTACCTATGCTATACAGCAACAACACGGGAATGATGGCTAATGGTGTTGGCTACTTGATAGGAACTGCAAGACTACGACAAAAACGCATAGAAAAGGGTGATTGTACAAACAGATCTTAAGCATGTTCAGAATCTGGACACTACCTAGTTACTCGCATCTATAACAGTTACTTGTATTTAAATACTTAACAGTTGCAGACATATTATAATAATTAAACTGCATATTATGTATTCAATATTTACTATCTGATAAATAAAACAATCTATTAATTATTTTACCCAGATGTATTGAATATATGAGACATAATAAGTAAAAGTATCTTGACGTCATCTACTTAAAGGGGCATCACGCTGAAGTAACTATTTTTTTGTCTTTTTTTCAATTACTACATAAACATATCAAGTGAGACTCCTTATGGAAAATAACGATCGGATTTGGCTGAAATAGATTCATAAAAATGATTAAAACTAAGATAATCATCGGTATTTTTACCTGTCTGACCAACGTTTTGTTCAGGGATTTCCCTCTACTAGCGCATGCGCATTGCACACCATTTCTTTGTAAACAAAATGACTGGCCATGTGAAGTTAGCCAAAGAAAAGTGTTGTACCGTGTCAGCTACGAAGCAAAAAGTTGCCAAATGGTCAAAAGCTAGCGCAAGGAGAACGTTACGGAATCATTATTACAGGTGGGAAGTATTCAAAGGAGAAAATAACTGCCCTAGCAGTTAGTACGGTGCATGTATTCTTCCGGATAGCCGGTTATAAGCTGAAATGGAATCGACAGAAATGCTAGCGCTGTTTATGTTATGAATAAATATCTAAAACTATAACCTCGCTAGTATCTTTGTCTGAGTTTGAACACAGATGAACTTAGTTTAATATGTCAATGAGCATGTATCGGAGAGAGTTTACTTTGTGTTTCTATAATTATACAGTGGTTTATGCGAAAGGAAGGGATAAGTGGCTGGTTAGTTTGATTTTGTTATGACGCCCTCCAAGGGTTAACTGTACACGTGTTGTGATAGCCACGGCGTATTCTTTCTCTGTCGGTACTCGTGATCGGGGTCAAATGAGATACGTGCGCTTTTAGATTTACATAATTTATGATATAACCGGGTTCAGTAAAATGGTATGATTAAATTATATTGCTGAATTAAACGATTTTGTTTTTGTTTTTACATACAAGATTTAAATTAGTACTAGTATGAATACCCGGCTTCCTCTGGCGCATCGACGCAATATATTGCAGCTAGATTAAAAAAAAGTCAAAATGACGGGCCAGGATGAATAACTGAGAAAGGATAACCTACTTCTAGTAAATATGATCGCGTAACATTTTTTTTTTAAATCGTGATTTTTCAACAGTTCATGTTAGCATATGTTGTTGACTTAGAATGTATGATCATGTAACAACCTTTTCTCTATAACCGAATTAATTTTCGAATTCAGATAGAAACTGAACATTTGTTTACGTTGTAAAAATGACGCGTGCTGCCGATAACTACGGCTTCTGTTTCGGTCAAAAATGAAATGATTAAAGAACATTTGACTCAACATAAAAAATGGCCCATTGACAAGAATGCTTTAATCTATGAAAAGTATTGAAAACATTTAATTATCAAGTAGCTTAACACGTCCCATATCTAACACATATTCTACATGTACACGTAGTGGTTTTGCCATACAGTTTGTGTCCGTGATGGCTAATATGACTTACTAAGTATTAGCGTATGGAGACAGTGGAAGTGGGAAAGAGAGTATACATACATTTTTATGCATGGTATAGAAACAAAAATTGGCCAAAGATATTGAGTTGTACAATGTAATAAAAAATCACAAACGTTTCTCTTTTTATACGCGTGTAGTTTGTCATTGCATATATGCACTTTATGAAAACATTTGAAAAGGGATATTCGTCTCGTGAATATTCCTTTTTACAGAAAGGTTTGTCCCATGATTGAAGAAAGGTGTTTAGCCCCGTACATATGTCACATCCCGGTATTAAATTTAATATCCTTCTTCTTTTGTAGGAATAAAAGGATTGGTCCATATTTGGTGTGGAGCATTCTTGGGTAAAGGGAAACCAATTTCGTATAAACTGTGGGTCTGGCTCCCCTGGGGGCTGAGGGGTGGGGCCAAATAGGGGAAATATAGCAAATTCTTTAAAATCCTTCTTCTGTAGGAATGAAAGGATTTGTTCTATATTTGGTCTGAAGCATCCTTGGATGAAGGGGAACCAATTTTGTATAAACCGTGGGTGTGGCTTCCCTGGGACCTGAAGGGCGGAGCCCAATAGGGGAAATAGAGGTAAAAACCTTTATATCCTTCTTCTACCATAGGGATTAAGAGATTTTATCCTTATTTAGTCTGTAGCATCCTTGGGCAAAAGGGACTCAATTTTGTATAAACAGTGTGTGTCCCCCTGGGGGCAGAAGGGAGGAGGGGCTCAATAGGGTAAACCTAGCAAATTCTTCAAAATCCTTCTTCTTTTGAAGGAATGACCGGATTTTGTCCAAATTTAGTATGAAGCATCCTTGGGTGAAGGGAAACCAAATTTGTATTAACGGTGGGTGTGGCTACCCTGGGACCTGAGGGGCGGGGCCCAATAGGGGAAATAGATGTAAAACCTTTAAAATCCTTCTTCTACCAAAGGGGTTAAGGGATTTTATCCTAATTTAATCTGGAGCATCCTTGGGCCAAGGGGACTCAATTTTGTATGAGCAGTGGGTGTGGTCTCCAAGGGGGCAGAAGGGCGGGGCCCAAAAGGGGAAATAGAGGTTAACCTTTAAAATCCTTCTTCTACCATAGGGATGAAGGGATTTCTTCCCAATTTGATCTGCAGGATCTTGGACAAAAGGGACTCAAATTTGTATAAACTGTGAGTGTGGGCCCCCTGGGGGCAGAAGGGTGTGGCCCAATAGGGGACACATAGCAAATTCTTCAAATACCTTCTTCTGTACTAGTGACAGGATTTTATCCTTATTTAACCTAGAGCATCCTTTGGCAAAGGGGACTCAATTTTGTATAAATGGTGGGTATGTGACCCCCATAGGGGCATAGGGGTGGGACTTTGTTTGAAGTTTGTTCTCGCTATATCTCAAGTACTGATTGGATCTTTCTGAAATTTCATATGTACTTACAGCACCTACTATGGAGTGCTATATCTTTACTTCATAACAATTATTTTAAACATATTCAGGTGAGCAATACAGGCCCTCTGGGCCTCTTGTTTTGTCAAACGGCATCTAGTATAAACAGCCCAATGAGTATTATTTTTTACACAACTGCATCTTTCGTTTCAGGTATAACATGTTACAGAGTTGACACTCGCTTGTATGCTTCGCTCTTTCCTGACCAAGATTGTGAAGTGCCATTTTCAACTGGTGATGAAGAATGGCGCCCATTTAATGCATCTTGGGCTTGGCCACTCCCTGAAGCAGCTAAATTTCCAACCAAAGACAGTGCTTGGAAATATCGTTCATCATTGGAACTAAAAACGCTTCCTTTTGTCGGAAGGTTCGCTTCCTATTCTGGGGGAGGTTATGTCACGGAGCTGCCAGCAGGCAGTGACGCTGCACACACTGCACTCAATGACCTCAGGTCCCAGCACTGGGTTGACCAGTACACTCGAGCAATTTTCTTGGAGTTCACTTCCTACAACCCCAATGTTGATCTGTTCACAGTGGCCGTTATCATATTTGAACTATCAAACATAGGGAATATCATGCCTTATTATCAATTTTTCTCCTCCAAGCTGAATCATTATGACTCTGACCTCGGTATTTTTGTGGCTGTATGCGAGTCACTTTTTCTGGTGTACCTGATAGGTTTCACTTATTTCGAAGTGAAGAAGTTCACAAAATTGCGGAAAACTGAGTACTTCTCCGACTCCTGGAATTATATGGAAATTATGATCATTGTGCTTGGTTATTGTACTCTTGGGTTATTTTTTCAGAGACTTGTTTTAGTGGACAGTGTTCTGTCGGAATATAGGAAAAATGGACCCAACAAATTCACTAGTTTCTACACCGCCGTGTTTTGGGACTTCGTTTTGACATATATCATGGCCGTTTTAGTCATGTTAGTAATTCTGAAAGTTTTCAAATTATTCCGCTTCAACACTAATACAACCGTCCTTATGCAAACGTTGGGGAATGCGAGAGGGAGTATGTTGAATTTTGCATTTTTGTTTTTCACTTGCTTCATGGCATTCGCTCTCTTTGCACACCTGGTATTCGGTTATTGGATTGTAGACTATAAAGATGTGGGAAGCAGTATAATAACCCTCAGTAACTTTCTACTCGGTGTTTCAGACTACAACAAACTCGAACAGGCTAACTCTGTACTTGGACCCGCCTTCTTTTTCGTGTTTGCTTTCCTCATCCAGTACATTCTGTTGTCTGTGTTTGTAGCCATCATTCTAGAGGCCCAGAGTCTCTCTCGAAAGGCAGGTAAGAATGACATTGCCCTCACAAAGTTTGTCTGTGAGCGGTTCCTGCTTATGATAGGATTCCTTCAACGATCGGATTACAAGTGATGTTGACTATTTTAATTTATTCAATTCAAATGGTGTACATTTGAACAATTATGTTTAATGTTTGCAATAAGATTAAATTGTTTTTGTTCCTCTTTTCTTTGTTAATAAAATTACTGAATTATCTTTCAATGAACTTTTGTGACTAGAAATTAGAATTGTATCGCGTTGTATGTTTAAACCAAGAAAAAGGTAAATAGATAAATGATTTCCGATCGCATTTAACATTCTTACCACAAATCAAAGTATCCATTCGATATTCCTTCCAGATATTAATGTGGATATTAAACCTCTACACACAAAACGATTGTTGAAACTTAGGTTACGGCCAGTTCAGATACACTGTCGTGGCTCTAGCGACTTTTTTTTTATTTATTTTTTTAAGGTTTGACCAATTGTCATAATGATCAAGTGTGAGAATTTTTTGAATAAATTCGTATTTAATGTTCCAAAGTCAGGGCCAAGGTTACTGATACTATTTATGAAAAGGATATGTTGAACGGATTTAATCATTTTAGCACGAAATAATCAATTCGCATGAAATACTCATCAAAACAGTGCTTATTCCTCAAATAAAACACAATTCTTACTGCAGCCCCCTTTCATTGATTTTCAGGATATCAAGTTCCCTAATGTGCTTTTTATGCAAAACGTGTCAAAGTAAACAAAACAGTATCATGCATTCACTGTTAAATGGTTCCAATGATATTTCCAGTGGAATATAGCAATTGACTATGCGTGACGTCGTATCTTGCAAATAACCATTTTACTCTTTTATCAGTTATGGTTATAAGATAACTGCATTCTGATTTCTACAGCATTTGTGTAAGTGACAGGACAATTTCCACGTTAACTAATATAGTTAACAATCATTTTTTCTATCATATAAAGAATGGGTAGATGATTTACTGCATATGCCCATTTTTGGAACTTGTTTTCCCATCCCGTCCACCCCAATCTTAATTCTGAAAGCTAATGCACAAATACATGTAATGGCAATAAATCATACTATTTCATGACGATTCCTAAAATATGAAACATTTTCGAAACATTCTGAATAATGTTAAATAGAATTCATCAATTTGGATATATCAAAGTTTTATTTTATGTACAAACAATGTACGTATCAAACGTTTCAAGACCGACTGGTCCCTTTTATTTGTCAAGCTATATATGATGGACCGGGATAATAACAAATGCTTAACGTCCAGTTGTGTTTTTTCATAACATTCATACGGTATCGAATATCAGCTCTCTTTGTCAGGCACAGGGCGCCAGGTAAAACTCCTGGGGGTGTATTCGTTTCCCCAACTTTTGGAGAGCAAAGGAAAGTGTTGATATATGAAGACAAGGACAAACCAATTATAGTCGGGGCAAGTTAGCTTATGCCATGGCGTCCGTCGTCCGTCCGTCAACTTTTCCTTTAAAACGCTACTTGTCCTTAACGGCTCAGTAGTTTTGGACTAAATTTGGGCTGGAGCATCCTTAGGCCAAAGGGACTCTATTGTGTATAAACGGTGGGTGTGGACCCCCTGGGGGCAGAGAGTTGGGGCCGAATAGGGAAAATAGAGGTTAAACGTTTAAAATCCTTCTTCTACCGAAGGGAATAAGGTATTTAAACCTAATTTGATCTGGAGAATCCTTAGACCAAGGGGACTCAATTTTGTATAAACGGATGTGTGGCCCCCTTGGGGGGCAGAGCGGTGGGGTCGAATAGGGGAAATATACGTAAAACCTTTAAAATCCTTCTTCTACCATAGGGGTTAAGAGATTTCATCACAATTTGGTCAGGAGCATCCTTTGGCCAAGGGGACTCAATTTTGTATAAATTGTAGGTGTGGCCCCCCCTTGGGGGCAGAGGTGGGGCCTAATAGGGGAAATAGAGGTAAAAACCTTTGAAATCCTTTTTCTACAGTAAGTATAAAGGGATTTCATCTCAATTTTGTCTGGGGCATGCTTGACAAAGATGACTCGGTTTTGTATAAACGGTGGGTGTGGCACCCTGGGAGCAGAGGGGTGGGGCAAAATATGGGAAATAGAGTTAAACACTTTTGAAATAGTTCTTTTACCATAGGAATTAAGGGATTTTATTCCAATTTAAACTGGATCATAATTTGGCAAAGGCGACCTTTTTTTTATAAATGGTGGGTTGGTGGCTGAGAGTTGCAGGGCCCAATAGGGAAATTCGAGGTTTAAATCTTCAAATTTCTTCATCTGTACCATTGAAGGAATTTTAAGTAATAAAAATTATTTCCGTTGGTTGCTTTATTATTCAGGTGAGCGATACAGGCCCTCTGGGCCTCTTGTTAAAATTTCCAACAAACAAACACAAAGAGAAGACACTTTGTTGCATGGTGGCACGCAGACGACAGCGATGATATTGGTTATTCACCATCAATATTTCTTTACAAAGAGAAAGAAGAAGAGAACGTGCCTTTCACAGGGATCTATCAAAGGTGAAAAATACTATATAGTCATTTCTAGTGATCAAGAGAGCGGGGGTAGGGGGCGAGGCAGGTCTATCACCACTTCACCACTTGTTATTTTGTTTTGAGTTTAAAACTTTCAAGTAATATTACATTTTATGTTTGTTTTGAATGTAACATGCATTGCTATTTCAGACTTTTAAGGAGGCTGCACTCGTTCAGGAGGAAAGAGAGAAAGGCATGCTAAATATGTCCACGTCACTGCACAGTTACTGTAGAAACAACAACTGATGTGCTGCAACAAGTTGATGATACAAAGATGTTTGAAAGGAAAGGTATAGAGATCATAATATTTGGTAAACTGGTGAATGCAGTTTCTATATAAGTTAAGTTTATTTCTGGTTCAAGACTATTAAAGTCCTCTATACCAGGCTCTTAAATAAATAAATAAAATACATTTGTCAAAAGTCAAAAATGTGTCAATTGAAAAAAAAAATAGTACACCATATAATTTTATTTTTTCTACCAAATATTTACAGAAATTATGACTGATGCGATAATTTTCATTTCAATCATGTTTGATATGCATAGTATCATGTATATCCATGTACACTACAGAATTTAAGTGTCTACATATGAATTTCATATCAACATTGTGCCAATAAATGCATACAGGAGCTTGTTACCCTGTATCAGCCGCCACGATCACTGCGGAATCTTTGTTGTATATCCCAAAATCTCGTACTGTGACCTACGACAACAGATGCTTTGGGAGGGTTTCGGCTACGTTGTGGAATAGCTTACCATCTGCTAATAGAAAGTCAAATACCCGGGCCAAGTTCAAGAGGGACATCAAAACTCACGTCTTCACGTCTGCCTTTTAGAATCTTTGCAAAGACGTCAGGTAAATACCACCCTTTTATTTGTTCAATTATTCGCACATTGCTTAATGCTTAAATGTATAAAAGTGATTGTAAGCCTTTGTTTATTGTTTTCACAATTATAACCATTACTATTATCCATATGTTGTAAAGCGCTTTAGAGTAATTTAACAAATTATATGGGGCGCTATATAAATGTTGTATATTATTATTATCAGTATAAATTTTCTGCACTACAAATAAATAATAAGAATGTACTCAAATTTTTATGTATCTTTAGAATTTGATTAGTAAAGTCACTTAATGTTTATGCATTGTACAACATTTAGTCAAAATTCTTTAAATAGGTGTGCAGTGTGAAGATGACCCTCTCCTTCAGGAGAACAAAAAATTTAAAGATGAAGTTAAGCTTCTAAGAGCAGAGGTGAAGCAGTTGCGATGGGGAATTAACAAAATAAAGGATGACAAAGCTACACATTTCTATACAAGGTTACCATCATTTGCTGTCTTTCTGTGGTTTTTTAAGTAAGTGTTTTTTTATAAACATAAGGCTTAATAACTTTTAACTGAAATCCATTAAGTTGGGGTATACATTTATAGTGCATTCATTATCATCATTATCCCACATGAGATCACCACATTATTTAATCTTCTTTTTTTATTTATCCCTTTTCAAGTTTCAAACTTAAAGATTTAAATTACATGTAATCAAAGTGTTATCTAAATTACACCAATAATGCAGTATTTAATTGTTTTTGACTTTTTTTTTAGATCTAATGCATACCAAAATGATATTCTGCTTGATAATGTCACTGTCTATCTAGATTGTGAGTTTCTATTATGTATTAATAATTCTCTTTTCACATGGCTTTCCTGTTATTCGATAAGTACACATGTATAAAGTACTTCTAATATAATATGGCTGATATGTTACCTTTGTAACCATGTGATTGGCTAATTAGCTGGTTTTATTCTGTATGATATATCAGCACTATATCCAATTACTGATCTTCAGTAATCTTAAATTTGTTATGTATATGTTTGCTGTTTGCAGCTATTTATCACCAAAAGCTGAAAGAATGACATTCTGAGGAGGAAAGAGCACATCAACAACAGACAGACAGCGACCAATGAAGACATCAGTTCCTCTCATTGATCTGTTTTTGACAGTACTGATGAGGCTTAACGTTGGACTCTTTGTCCAGGATATGGCAGACAGATTTTCCATTTCTAAATCCACCTTTCCTAATATGTTTGTCACTCGGATCTGTATTTTGTATGAAGAATTGAAACTGATTAATGTTTTCTCATCCAAAGAACTTAAGAAACAAACAACTCCCTCTGTATTCAAGCCTTTTTCAGAATTTGCGTATTATTTTAGATTGTACTAAAATTTTCATTCAGATATCTTCCAGTTTAATCAACCAGAACTTAACATTTTCCAATTACTAGCACCATAATACTCTCACATTTTTAATTGGTATAACTCCATCTGGAATTATATCATTTGTATCACAGGCTTGGGGTTGGTAGAACTTTTGACAGACAGATTGTTATAGAAAGTTGGCTTCTTGATCTGTTAGAACCAGATGATAATGTGATGGCAGACAAGGGGTTTACTATTGCTGATCTGCTTTAAGAAAGACATAGCACTTTAAACATACCACCTTTTCAGGGAAAAAATAGTCAATTTACTGTTAAGGAAGTGTTTGAAACCCAAGAAATTGCTCAAGTTAGAATCCATGTTGAGTGAAGCATTGGTCGAGTCAAGATTTTTTATTTGTTTGATGGTGTATTACCATTATCTCTTGCACCTATTGCATCAAAGTGCTTCCAGGTTGCCAGCTGACTAACACATTTAGATGTTCCTCTTGTTGTTGAAAGCAAATAATTTTTGATACTGTTTCCACTTGATGGGTATTCTGATCAGTCTCTAAGTATATGTTACTTTGAAAGCCAATAAAAAGTACAATGGACAACTATATAGGTTTTTATAAACAGAGAAAAAAAGAGATGTTACACTTTCATGCTGAAAATAAACATGAAGGAAATTTATTTTCCATATCACATGAAATCTTTTTTGCGTCAAAATAGTGCAATATTATCTATCATGTCCCAGAAAGTATTATTTCCAAATAAAACAATTGCTGAAGGTGTACATGTAGTGATCATTATTAACCAGGACTGGTCAGGATGAAAGCTGATACAAAAGTAAACAATTGGAGACAGTCATTATTACATTATCACAAATAGTCATTTCTGTGACTTGGCATATATCAGTTGCATGTTTGGTTCTGCTTTTAGTATGAAACCTATACAGGTTATGTGACCTAATTATTACATGTTCCTGCGCCAAACCATGTAATAAATTATGTAGGCGATTTGTTTTATATTTTTTATCCACTTCAAAAAAAAAACATTTTCTGTTGGTCCATGTCTAATGTCACAATATAAACAGATTTTTCATATATATCTGCAGTATATAAAAAAACAAAATTGTTACACCAGCAAAATGCCATAAGGAGTGAAATACAATCATGAATGAAATCGTAATATATGCATAATAGGTGGGGGGGGGGGGTTTACATTAAAACAGAAAGAAAAAATTCTGAAGGTAAGGAAGCATTTTGGAGACCTATACTGCATCAAATTTAATCCTCTGAACACACCTTGTATCTGTGCATAATATTTATGAGACTTTTCAAGCTCTGGGCCTTTATCATTGATTTTAATATATATTTAAGGATAGTTCTCTAAAATGTTCAGTTTCTCTATATTACATATATTTGTTCCTTTTATACTGCAAGGCCATTTAATTTCCAGAACTCCCTCTTGGCAGGTAGTCAGTGACTCTTCCATCACAGCTGGCTCCTATATACGCTTCAGATGGTAAGAGGTACAACCCTGTGCTCTGTACCTGTACAGGAGTACCAAAACAGATAAATAGTCTGTCTTGGCTCTCTGCTCCATATCTAAACCCTATTGGATAGCAGGTGGCAATGTACAATATCTGTGAATATGTCGGTCAATCCATCATTAAATAACAACTAAAATTGCATAAATAATATTTCTGTCAATTGGATTAATAATTAAGCCATTCAAGTAATTGCTTTGTTCAAATTATTTCATTAATTTGCTTAACATCTCTTTCAAGATCAACATATGTTGTAGAGATTGTGACTGTTAGCTTGATGTATATAATACAAGACATCAATAAATGTACATATCTGATACTCCTCTAA